TCTGATATATAGAGATCTACTGCCTCTTCAATAAGTATAAGTTTATAAACTCTGCTCTAGAAAAAAATGTTAATTGATTTTTTTGGTTTAAATAATTACTTTTATTCATTTTTTCTTTTAGATCAAATAATCACCTTCCTAATAATCACCCTATCTTCTAGAAGCATTCCCTGCTAACATCTAGTTGTTGTTGTTAGTTGCGAAGTCATGTCCGAACCATTGCAACCCCATGTACCACATTCCTCTAGGCTTTCCTGTCCTCTACCATCCTCTGGAGTCCATTTAAACTCATGCCTACTGCTTCAGTGATTCCATCTAGCCACCTCATTCTCTGTCGTCCCTTTCTTCTTTTGCCCTCTTTCTCAGCATTAAGCTTTTCTCCAGTGAACACTTCCTTCTCATTAGGTGGCCAAAGTATTTGAGTTTCATCTCATGAGGACCCAGATTGTTGGGGGCAATATGCTGACTCTCTGTAAACCGCTTAGAGAGGCCTGAAAGGCCTATGAAGCGGTATATAAGTCTACTGCTATTGCTATTGCTATTATCTTCAGGCCTTGAGGTGCTACCTGAAGCCTCAAAAAGATGCTTCTCTTCAGCTAAAGGTTTAATTGAGGTGCCTTTCAATGGATTGTATCTTCCACTCAGTTGGTGTTCCAAAGGCTTGACATAGGCAAGCTGTGCTAAAGGACTTCAGCTGAAGCAAAACAGCCAGACATGATGGAATTACACGCTTCAATGAGTTAATTATAAGCATCAAGATTGATGTCTTTTTCAAGTCAAAATGTTACCACAAATTGTATTACTCCTTCAAGAGAAGTGAAAGTAGTTCTGCTGCTTCATAAGATTTCTGTTTTCTGCTTCATCCTACCCCAAAATTATTTGAAGCATGGCTTGCTGAACATGCCATGATGGGTTGGTTGGTATATAATGGCTAGAATATATGGTATAAAATTGCAAATTAAAATGTCACAGAAAGGGGGAATCATTGAATAAATAGTGAACTGCAATATTGATTACATTGACTTAAATTATTTTAAATTAAATATAAATCAAAACAGATTAGGTTTAGCTTTCACCTTAACTTTATCTTCTATCTAAAAAATGTCCCAGTACATTTATAAATATATTAAAGGTTGTTCTCCATATAAATACTTTGCACTGTCATCTAGAATCTTTTATGCATATTTCATAGCATTTAGAAATAATTATGAGTCTTTTTACTGATTACTTTGGTTCTGATGTAATTAATTGTTACTTCTGATAAGTCCTTAACAAAAATATGCCAATAAATATTTATGTCATGCTTGCCATCTGCTTTTCTTTGGTACCATATGTTAAGAATTAGCAGGACACTTCTTGTTTACACCTGAAATCATTCTAGTCACACTGAGATTTTTGACCAAAGGTAGCACCAAATATAACATTGCACAGGAAATAGTGTATTAAATTCTCCCTGGGATTCAGTTTTAAAAAGATCACAGAGATATCATATTGATTATAAAAACGATGCCTATATTTCCCCGTTGAAGTACCCAGTTGGATACCACTACTTATAGCTTTGCTTAATACCCAGTTATTATATTATCACCCAAAACTGGACAACCACTAAAATAAAGTTATTTTCATTTTTAGTCATACTTATATGGGTTTGAGATTTTTATTACCATGGAATTTTTTTTAATCTCAAAATATTTTCTGAGGATAGATTGATACATCAGGTTTTATTTTACAGTTTCTAGAAAAACACTGATTATATAGATTCAATGAACTTATTCAGAATGGTCTATGTAAGGTACTATTAGTGGTATCTGACTACCTCCTCCTAAAGATGCTATTTTAGCTGCTGCAAAGGCACGTTCTTTAACAAACAAAATGATACCATACATATAGCAGCATATTTGTCTTCCTAATTTTATTAGGAAGTAATGATTTTTCTATTAGCAGTAACCACACTCAAAAGTGAGCAAGATAGAGAAAGAGAGCAAACAGATGGTCTTTCAGCTGCAAAGTAATTAGGGCAGTGTTTCTCAACCTTGGCGACTTTAAGTCCTGTGGACTTCAACTCCCAGAATCCCCCAGCCAGCACAGCTGGCTGGGGGATTCTGGGAGTTGAAGTTCACAGGACTTATAGTCGCCAAGGTTGAGAAACACTGAATTAGGGTGAAAGAACAATCTGTATTTCTTGCATAAATAAACTTGGAATTTATTTTTAATGGTGTACAATATATAAAATAAAAAGACAGTTGACCATGAATAGGATCAGTTTAGACCAATTATGATTTTTCACCCCAAATTCGCACACAGGGATCTTATGATAGCAAAATAAGGAAGGAAACCCTAGTGTATTATCTTGAGCTCCCAGAGGAAAAATATCAAGAATAAGTAAAATAGGAAATTATATACTCATTCCATAAGTACATACATTGCACTATAGCATAAAGTTGGAAAAATCAAATAGGGAAGTTTTACATAAGTTAATTATCCTGACTTCCCATTTTAGGCAACAAATAATTAACAGATAGGCATAGAGCAGATGGACCAGTGCTGTGATCAAATTGCAGCAATGGACATGTGCAAAGCTGAAGCAGAGGACATTTATCTTGGAAGTAATCCTTATTATTAACTATCATTAGGACCATATGAATCTAATTGTTTAAAACAAACCATTAGCCTTCTATTTGTAAAACATGAATCCCTGAGAAACTATCCTCAAGAAATAGCTTTCTTATTGCTATAGCACTAACCTCCTGAAACTATCTTTTCTTTTTCCTTGGTGAAGTGTAATTAAGGTGTTTCAAAATTGAGCACTAAGCAGCAGATTATCACTAAAAATATACCTTTACTAATAATAACTTAGGTTTCAGACAGAGATAGAGAGAAGATATAGCCAAAAGATGCAAAGCTACATTTTTAAAAAGCCTAAATCTTGACAAGAATGGCTAGAAATGATGGGAACTCTGCAATTCAGAGTTATTGTAATTAATTAATAAATGTAGTATTTCAATTAAGATTCATACTCTATTCCTTAATTAAAATCCACTGCAAAAAGCATTTATAACTTTGCTTAGCAATCTCCTAAACCAAAAGCCCTCTTCCCATCTGATCTTTTTCTTTTTCTCAACTTTGTATTTTAAGGGTCCTTTTTGTTTTTCTTGGCAAGCAATCATCTGTCTATCATTAAATATGGCTCTGAGTCACACCTATTATGCATATCTTCATAGTATCAAATGAAAGGCATTTTCTAGGTAATTTTCGTTAGCTCTATATTTCTGATTCTTTGTTTTCCTGTCCCTATCCCATTAGAAACCACGCCCCATTCCTATGAACATAAATTAAAATATTAACTGAAATGATGGTAATTGCTTGTCTTATCTGCATAGTTTTCCCCCCTGAATCCCATTTTATCCCTCTCCTAACAGGGAAAAACAAATAGAGAACTGCTAGATCATAGGAGATAATTCCAAGAGCTAGAAAAAAACATAACTATATGATAGAATAACTTTCATTTCATTTCATTTCAGTAATAATTGGATTTTGCCATTAGGCATTACTTTTCCTTAACTAATTTATATGCAATTTCATTGTGACAAATGCTCTTTCACAGCTATGACTACATATTTTCCTCTAAAAGGACTTACAGAGGTACAATTCTTTTCCATCTTGTCCTCCATGATGCCAATTCGACATGGTGTCTTCTGATTTTGGAGCCAATAGTCTGTTGATTCCAGCAAACTGTTACTGCAAAGTGCCTGTTGAAACAGAAACAATTCATAGTCCTTCGCAAAATGAAATCATGAGCCTAAATACAACATTACACAGAATAGAGTTGGAAGAGTCTTCTAGTTCAACTTTTTGCTCAAGTAGAAAATCCTATGTCGCTCTCGACAAATGGCTGTTCAATCTCTTCTTAAAAACCTTCAGTAATGGAAAGCCACAATCTCTGGAAGCAAGCTATTCTACTAATTGTTCTCGCTGTCAGGAAATTTTTCCTTATTTCTAGGTTGCATTGGTTATCTTACAGGAGGTTCTCAAAATAATTTTATTTTCAATGCCGTTTAAAGGTGCTACAATAAAGC